CTCCATGGAAAACCAGTGCAACGCGATAGCCTGGGTATCGGGACAAAATTCAACATGGCGTCTGGAGGAGGTATTATCAAAGGAGTCAAAGGTTTTTTCCAAAAACCAGCTGTAAAAACTGTCGTGAAAACCCTGTTTCCGGATCCTATGGCGAATTTCAAGTATTCAGAAGTTTTGTGGAACTTTAGAAATAAGGAAACCCTGGAGCAATGGACGCTTATCACAGATGAGCAGTTTGGTGGCAAATCTACAGCCGAGTTTGTACGAAGTCCAGGCGGAAAAGCTGTGTTTAAAGGGAATATTTCTACTGAATTACCCGCAGCCACGAATGTTAAATACAGTGGTATGTGCTCTATCAGATCACAGCCACAAAGGGTAAGTTTTGTGGCGCATCTAGTACTGTATGCAAAATTTAAGCTCAAGGTTACATAATTTTCAAGATCAAGGTACAAACTGGAAAGCACCCGAGTGGGGGCCTGGGCGGGCCTGGGCTGCCCTGGTACCCAAGGTACCTGAGCCATGAGTGATTTCCATTTTCTCAACAACTCTTGATTTTGCGCTATGAAAATTAATGTACCAGGAAGTGCACAGTGTTATTGTAATGGCTGACTTCCACTGATTGAGTCTATAAGTAAGCTAGTTTTCCCTGGGAGTCCTATTGTCCCATTCTTCTCAACCAAAGCATATACCATGTTACATGTGCTTGAAACTCTGTACTTGCTATTAGGGGGAACTTGGCCTTAACTGTTGTAATGGAGACCGCAGTAGGTAACTTCTCCATACGGAAGATGGGTGAAGGTTATCACTTTTACGGTTTTCAAGCAAAGAGAGAAAGTAAAAAAGGCAAGTCACTCCTCTCTTTCCTGTCGGGCTGTGTGAGTCTAAGCTGGACTGTGCTCTTTAAAAGAAAAAACGTTACATCATACATTAAATTGTGTCTTTCTCTTCTTGTTATCCAGGATAGGAAAGGAGATGTGACAGCAAATGAAGTAGCAGATTATGATGGTATTGTTGTAAGATTAAGAGGAGACGGTAGAACCTATACACTTAATGTTCAGACAAAGGGCATCAGGGATGACGATATACATCAGTCTTTTTTTCACACAAGAGGAGGACCATACTGGGAGATAGTGAGGGTAAGATAGACCTCATCTCTATGTTGTAAGAGAATTGCAGGGCTGCAAATAACTATTTTTTTGAAGGCACATTTTTGATGACATCTCTGTGTTGCCTTGGCTGAACAAAATGGATATTGCATGTGATGTGACATTATTCTTTAGTTCCATTAATATTTAACGCTTTTGATTCATAATAAGGGGACTTTAAATTTGAGTATGATTACAAGATTGAGTACAAGCAAGATTTTCTAATTCTAGTTTGCAGGCTTCACATTATCTCGTCACATACCCATCTCATTCCCTGAGGTACCCTCTTTACATAAAATCAACATAAACATGAAGAGCGAGGGCTCTGGAAATGTCACTGGTTTAAAATTCAAAATTCATACTCATAATTCAATCTTGAGGCCCCTTTTGTTACAACTTATACCAAACCACATTCCAGACAAGGAGCATATATGTTAAGAAAGTTGGAATATGGCCAATTTGCCTAATGTAGTTGTCAATTAATCTGAAAAATAAAGAAAAGAAGAAAAATCCACTGTTCATAGTGTTAGGCCATAGCTTGGATTTTGTCATTAGCCAATTTCAGTCGGCTATTTTCTGATGGCTGACTGTTATTTGCAGTCCTGAATTTGTCTCAGTGAGTGGCTAATGTAGCTGGGTTAACTAGATTTCTTTGGTCACTACACTTTCCATCCAGTGACTTTTGTTGTCATTTGTCACCAGCTAGTCAACTAACAAAAAACAAAAATCATTCCTGCCTGCATCAGCACAATAACATTTTCCCATGACGCAGTTATGTCCAAGTTTCTAACCCTTTTGAATTTGCATCTCTTGACAGCTGCCATTCACAAAGTTTGTTCTAACCAATGCGGGATACTTACAAGATCAACAGATGTATTTTCCAAGAATACGCACAGTTGGTTTCACATTAGCAGATCACAACACTGGTCCATTTCACCTGGAAATTGACTATATTAAACTGGTCATGTTTATGTACCAGCCCAAACATTTCAAATACCACTATCAAAGCAAAGCTTGAGTATTTTGTAGGTCAATTACAAATGGTTTACTCAGGAAGCTATGTTCCAATTTTTAGGGTCAAAAATCCATTGAATCCCCAAGTGTTGTCAAAGAATGAAAATTAAGGTTCCCCCTCACTTACTAAACCAAATCTCAATCTTTCTAAGCAAGTTCAAATGGCCCAATTTGGATTTCCATGCTTGGTGGTCACGCCTTTCAACAGAGACAAGGCTAGAGTTGACTTTGTTGTGAAACACAATTTGTTACTTTTCGAATGTAAATTATGCTGTTATCACACTAACTAGTTTCTCATCTCTATCATAATAAAGTGGACCCAAACCTCGTTTCCATGCAAACGCTTGGTTACATTTCACAGAACAGTGACATGTTCTATTGTATAGGATCTGAGCTGAACACGCCCTTCTTAGCTTGAACGTCTTGATCAGGGGTTTCATTAACGTTTTCAGCAGGAGGGCAACAGGTTTTCACAGGTGGGCAAAACTATTTGAACTGTGGACTTCTAATATAACAGAAACTTTCCTCTTAATGATCAAACCAGGCGAGCAAAATCACCCTCACAGCCTGTCAATTTGCCTGGTGCTGGCCCTTGATGAAACCCCTGAACTTGATCAATCTCCAGCGTTTGTAAGAAAGCTTTTTAAAATAGAGGTTCTAGATAGGGGTGCTATAGCCTCAGCCATCGGTGCAAATTTCATTGCATTTCTCAACTATCAGTAATGTTTACACGTCTTAGATCTCAGTTGTCAGTTGAAAAAGCATCATTTGTTGTCTAAAATTGGACCAACAGGCCATATTCGTATTCTTGGGATTGGACTGAAACTAGCTTGCAATAGAGGCTCATGTGGGGGAATATCATTAAGAAGAAATTAATGTCATGTACATTTGAAAAGACTTCCTGCATTAGCCTCAATTGCAAGCTAGTTGCAGTCCAATACCGAGATTACAAATATGGTCTATTGTCAGCTTTCAGTTGAACCCCACACAGACCCTAAACTTTTAATAAAGTCTGTTTATTTCTTCACATTCAACAGTGCGTTATTCCTTTTGCTAAATAGAGCGGTTTTCATTTGAGTTTTGAAAGTAATCAGGCAATTACTTTGGTTGT